AAGCTTTCGAAGTCAAGGAAGCATTTCGAAAGCATCGATTCTGTTTTCCAAGAGCTTCCCAGCGACATGTTCAAACTCAAAGCTGAGTTGAAGGATCACAAGCCGTTGCCATGGGCATACAAAGATCTTGCACCCGCGCAGCCTTCGAAGACCGAGACTGTTCACATGAGGGAGTTCGGGGAGGCTGGATTGACCAAGAATTCTTCGGAGGCGATGGGTTTCAAAGTGGGGTCAATGGTAACGAAAACTAACGGACCTGATACAAGGTACGCGGTGGAATCTTGCACATGGCAGAATGTCTCATTGAAGTCCGTTGCCATGGCTAAGGCCAAACTCAAAGTGCCGATTGGAAAAGTTGCAGACGAATACAAAGTTGTGCCAATTGAGGAATTATTTTCAATGGTCGTGAACGTCGAAAGTGCAAACGAGTTGGACCACCACGATATACATATCGAATTGGGGAAATCCCGTGTGCGCGAAGCCCTCGCGCACACATACTATCGCACGGTTGGGGCGGTTTCTGTGAATCTAGCATGGGCCAACACCCCTAAACCGAGCGTGAGGGAGATGACCACGACTACATCATACGAGAAGGGTGCGTTGATCTTGGTTCCATTCTCGTCTGTAATTGGAGTGTCTAAAGAATACCCTACCACGTCAGTCGCTCTCCGCACCCAAGGCGTTGCGCCCAAAGGCTACGAAGCATTAGTTTCTCCCAGGATCGAGCTCCCGAAGTTTGGTAAACCAAGCCCAGAGCAGTTTGTGGTTCCATATTGGTGGGTGCCGCTGGCGAAGCAAGGGAGCGCCGTCAATCTCATTCACGGCGTCGTGAGGGTAAAGCTGCCTGTCGAGAGCGCCGTCCTCCATGATGGCCCTTACAACAAGGGTTCACAGTTTGCAGAGACCATCGTGGATATCCCTAGATTGTACAACTCTGTTGCGCTCAAGTCAGGGACAGCTTTGTATCGCAGCGATAAGGCGGCCCCGAAGAGGCCCTCCGACGCTGCGAGCTCTGCCGCTGGTGTAAAGAAGGTGAAGGCGTGAAGACATCACCCAAATGCATCCATGAACAATCTGTTCTCGCGAGCTCCCTCACAACGCGCAGGGGGTGGATCGAATTTAGGGACAGGGGGCAAAACCAGGAGATCGTTGGGAACATCTGAGGTTTGTAAATATGTTAAGCTGTCCTCCCATCTGGTGCCCCGCCCTGCGGCCTGGCGCCCGCCGCGGCCACGTTGGTTCGAAGAAGCGCTCTCAAGTTGTTGGTTTTCAGCGCATCCAGTGTCCTCCTGGAGAATGGCGTTATATCCTCGCCCTCACCCCACCAAGCATCTCGATATATGTCGCAAAGTTGTTAACGTGGTTGATTTGCGCGGCACCGCCGTCGCCGTTGTCGGCCTCAAGTTTTCCGTTGCCCCTGTGCCAGCCCGACACTTGAGGCCGCAGTGCGTTCTGCTGAAGTATGGTCTTGTCTCCTCCCATCCTTCCCATTTCTCCTCGTCCTCGCCGCTCCTCCGAGGATTGCGCACCCCCCAAGAAGACGTCCCCAAGGGGGCCCAAGAGGCCCCAAAGATGCCCCAAAAAGGTCCCAAAGAGGCCCCAATACACCCACCCAAGGGCACCCGATGTTACCCAAACGCAATAGGCAAGTAGAAACGAATAGACCAACAAATATGAAACGAGTAAGACGGGTAAATCAAGCTAACACACACAAGCACACATTGTGAACGAATAAAAACGCATGAAGCGGATGCAAAGAGTGAAACACATATAACGGGTTCTGTATCATCACACCAAATATCATCATCACAATCACCACACATCATACATCCCACGTGCATGCGGCCCAGCCCGAGCATTGTGCGATTGGGGTGTTGGCCCGAGCTGTGCTGTCCATGGTTTCTCTGCGTTTATGTCCTGTGCTCACCGCACATCATACATCCCACGAGCGTTGTGCGATTGGGGTGTTGGCCCGAGCTGTGCTGGCTCAAGCTTGCGCACCCCTCTGTATCTTGACTTGGCGCCTGAATCTAATGGCACACCCCGCTCCGCTTGTGCAGGCGTTGGGCCTGCAGTCGGCGCCCGATTCATACGAGCGCTTTCCCGACGCAGTGACAGAGTGGGAGCAGCAGCAAAGGGAGAAGGAGGAAGCGGAGGCAGCGAAGGGAGGAGCGATCGAGGTCCAAGAGAGCCCTGGCGACGGCGCGGGCGCAGATCCTAGCTTGCCAGTCGCCACAGCAGCCGAGAAGAGCCCGAGCGACGCAATGGGGGGCGACCCGGCCGCAACATCGGATGATGGCCCCTATACACGCCCGCGCCTTCACATCCCAGAGCTACGCAAGCGGTCGAGAGCATGCGAGACACACGATGACATCGAGAGCGTCGGCGATGACGTCAACGCGAAGGCGGTGTTCCAGGCCATGCTGAACAATCCTGTATCTACGCATAGCGACCCCAGCAACAAAATGGCGAAGCGCACGTTCCGTGTCCTTTACGAGAGGAGATCTGGGTCAGCAGCTCCCAGAAGCCGTGAGATGTCAAACTTTCTGGTGAAGCCCGTGCAGGGCACTCAGCTCGCTATATTTATATAGTCTGGTCCATCTGCGGCCGCTGCCGCCATGCCCGTGGTGAACTTATCGGCTGCGCGCCCCCGACAAAACACATCATTATCATCATCGCCATCGTCATCACGAATTGCGTTGCGGCATCACCATCATCATCATCACCGTCATCATCATCATCCCCATATCATCATCACCATCGTCATCCTCACCATCGCCATCATCATTACCATCATACCATCATCATCACCATCATCATCACCACCATCATCATCACTATCGTCATCATCACCATCACCATCATATCTCATTGAGTGTTATTGTGGTATTTTGAACTGCGTTGCGTTGCATTGTCCCAACAAGCGGAGCTGTGGTGGCACTAGGTCGCCGCCCTGGCGATAGCGTTGACGATGGAGTGGTGCGCAAGAGGGCGCGCTCGCATTCATGTCGCCGTAGCTGTTTTGGGCTCAAGCCGTCGAGTGGGATTTATAGCACACGCTCGGACCTAAGTTGATTTTCGGACTCAAATGCCGCTCACCCTTCGCCGTGAGTACGTCGTCATTTCCAGCGACCGAGATCAGAGCATCAATGGGAGCTGGATTGCCAGGGTTGTCGAGCGCAATGGCGTGGAGTTCGTTGTGCCCAGCCGCTCGGACCACAAATGCGTGAAGCTGTTGAAGAATAACTTCGACATGGTGACTGAATTGGAACGCCTCCGCAACGAGAAGGTAACTAAACTAATGCAGGACATCGAGCGCGCGGCGGACGAGATGGCGGACGCCGAGGAGGATAGCGATACTGGTGGGCCTCGCCTCAAACGCTCTCGGAGGCAGCTGGCCGACGAAATCAGCGAAGTCATTGAGCTTGACGCACAGGACACCTTCGAGAACTGGCACAAAGTCAGAGTGTTACGTGCCGCTGATGAGAGGGCGCTACTCCACTTGGAGCTCACCGTCGACAACACCAACCTCCTCCACAACGCCCCAATGCCCCGTGATCAGCCACTGTCCCGCCCGAGTGTCAACGATGAGAACATCAAGTGGATCTCTTCTCGGAATACGTTGAGGCTCAGTTACTTCGACATGGCAAGCCAGAGGTGGAAGGTGAAATCCATGAAGATCAAGTTCTCGTCTGACTACGCCGAGATGCAGGACCGCGTCGACAAGACGGTAAAAGTCTTGCAGACATTCTTCCAGGAGCACCACGGCGTCCACATCGACCCTGGCATCGCAGAGGCAGAGGAGGACGGAGGCGATGACGCTGATGTCGCAATGGAGTGAGCTATAGGGCCGCGGGCATATACGTTCGGCGGTGGGGGCGCTTGGCGTATACACGAGAGTCGGGTTTTGCAAGCGCGACCAGTGGCAGTCTGTCCTATGCATAGCAGGCCTGTCGCATCGGGGCATGCATCGCAGGTGCTGGCGCACGGGCGGCCACGGTCGAAACATATCGCACAATTGTGCGCGTACTAGCGAAATACACAGCAGATCGTTGAAACAAACAACACCAACACCATCGCCACAAGTGCTCTCGGCATCATCCGCATGGTCATCAGCATCGCCTTTAGGAGCGATCTCGTCGTCGTCGTTTCCCGCCTCGGCGGGGCGAGCGAACAAGCGCGAACTTCATATAGCGAGCCCGACGTAAAAGCACGAGCTCGCTATAGCGAGCCCGCGCAAATGCACGGGCTTCAAAACGTAACATAGGTGCCTGAGGCACCTATGTTGGACTTTTGAGCCCGTGCACTTGCGCGAGCTCGCTATAGCGAGCTCGTGCTTTTAGCTCGGGCTCGCTATATGAAGTTCGTGCTTCTGGGGGGGCGGCCTCGGAAGCGCCAGATCTGTCGGGCCAAGGGCGGCTGTTCGACGGCGTAGACGACGTCGTGAATGACGAGTTCCTCCTCCCCCTCCTCCCGTCGGGCCCCAAGTTGGCCTAAGTAGGGGTCCCAAAAAAGAGCCCCGAGGCGGCCGCCAGGCCCTAAGTTGACCGACGTGGAGATCCAGAGCACGAGCCTCAAGGAGGCCGCCGAGCCCCAAGTTGACCGAAGTATAGATCCCGCAAACGAGCCCCAAGGCGGCCGCTGAGCCCCAAGTTGACCAAAGTAGAGATCCCAAGCGCGAACCCCAAGTGCGGGGTTGGCGCGCTGAAGGTCCCTCGTCCTCCTCCTTCCCTCCTCCCTCTTCCTTCCCTCCTCCCCCTAGGGGGTCCCCGACGAACCTTCCCCCGCTATAGCATCCCCTCATCCTTTGCGCCCTCGCCTGTCATTTCGCGGGGGGGAGGGTTCCCATTTTTGTTCCTGGGCCTCGTCCTCAGGAGAGGCCCAGGAACAAAAATGGGAATCCTCCTCCTCCTCCATCCCCGTAGCCATTTTGGCTTAGGCAGGTTTGCGAGCTTGCAGTACAGACACAACAACGGTTGGCTGCACTCACGATTGGCGCAATGGCTTCGGCGCATAGCGCGATCGTCACGGCGCTTCAGCACCGGGTTCAGTTTGTCAGTGCCCAAACGGCGACTACAGGGACCCCCGTCGGCTCGATGCTAGACGCGAAGTTGCAGGCGATGTTGGTCCAGATTCAGCAGGCGACTGGGATCACGCTCCAGGGGGGGACCGAGATCATGAACGAGGTAGGCCGTGGCCCGTGGACAGTAGAACACAGGCAGGCCTTCTCTACTGCCGTGAGCAATAACATTGCGGCGCCCGTCGCGCGGTCGACTCGCCCTACCCAGAAGTGCAGTGCCATCCGCAACTTCTTCACGGAAGGCGATTGGGCGATCTTCGAGAGCAGCCAGCTGACCGAAGAGCCGAAGCTGCAGGCGATGGCGAAGAGGCTTTCCATGCTCGGCATCGTGTGCCCATGCGAGAAGCTCTTGATGTCGGCATGCGCGTTGCTGGTCATGAAGGGCGACCCCCCGCCGAAGGACCACGCTCAGAAACGCGAAATGTGCCACAACCTGTCGAAGCTGATCAAGATGCACGACAAGACGACTACATGGCCGTTCACCTACATCACGAACTACATGGACAGCCCCCTGACCTTGCCTCCAGAGATTTATGCCCGCGCATACGGCGCCGACAAGCCCTGTCCACCACCCCCGCCGTTCGAGACGTCGGTCTACAACGATGCCGTCTTGGGAATGTGCTACAGGTCCAACCGCACTGGCGTGTCGGGCAGCAAGAAATCCCCTGGCACCTCACTTGCTGTTCCGACCGCAGGCGCATTGCAGCAGCATCATCAACAAGTTGACGCGATGCAGATGTGCATGGGGATGATGGGCGCGATGATGCAGCGCATGGGGGTGGCGCCGACTGGAGCAGACAACGTCAACGACGGCGGCATCAACATTGCAATGCTGAAGGGCGGCGCGGCTTCTCCCAAGTCTTCGGCGCCCTCTCATACGTTGAGTGCAGAGACTCTGTCTCTGGGGGGTTCGCCCAAGGAACCGATGCCAGCACCCCCCGCGCCAGCAGGGCCCGCGAAGACCGCGGCGGCCGCGGTTGATGAGGCCAAGGAGCTCGAGAAGAAGATGGTCGCATCTGCCCAGGCCGTCGGCCATCCCACCGCTGCTTCGCAGGTAGGCGGCAAGCGCAGGGCGGCAGGGCATGCCGACGGCGCCGCCGACGGCGCCGCCGACGGCGACTCGGCTCCGGAGGCCCGGGGCAAAGGCAAGGCCAAGGCAAAGGGCAAGGGCAAGGCCAAGGCAAAAGCTAAGGCCAAGGCAACAGCTACCAAGTCCAAAGCCAAAGCCGCTGCCGCAGGTGGGCCATACATCATCAAGCATGGCAAGTTCACGGCCGACATCTCGCATCTCTTGACGCCCGAGCTTGCCAAGGGCTGCATCCCGAAGAACTTCAAGTGCAAGGCTTACGACCGCGCGAAGTACCTAGCTCAGCAGGCGGGGTTGAGCAGTTCAGCTCAGACATCGGTTGCTCAGATGGCTTATGCCAAAGCAGCCGAGTACCTCGCGGCCTGAGTGGAAGCACGCTTCTACAGTCTCTTTCTTTCTGCCCTTTCGCAGTGGGGCTGCGGTCGGGCCATGCGCACTATAGTACACTCTACTCGTGGGCTGTCAGAGGGCCCAATGAAACGCCCTCGCTCTACTCCGCTGGCACCAGCCAACTCCGACCGAATGGACGACGAACTCGCTCTACTCCGCTGGCACCAGCCAACTCCGACCGAATCCCCCCTTGGGACAGCTAGGAGGTTTCTTGGGCTGTCTTGGAGGCCATCTTGAGGCCATGTTAGGCCGTCTGCTTCGTAGGCCGTCTTTGAAACATATTGTGGCCATCTTGGCGGTCTTGGAGGCCATCTTGGGCGTCTTGCAGGCCTCTTGGGCCGTCCTTGGTAAATCTTATGGCGCATGATGTTATATGTATATATACACATGTATGTGTGTATATAGACATACATACAAACAAACTTGCGTACGTGCCTGCATGCATACATACATTCATTTTCAGGGCCCCAGCGTGAGTATCTACAGCAAGAGCCCCCATGTGCACTCTTCGGGCCTTCTGAGACTCCTTTTGGATCCTTCTTGGGCCCTTAGCTTGGAGATCTACCATGTATATGATAGGTGTTCGTGGAGATGTACCCTGTATATGATAAGTGTTCGTGTGCGAGTGAATGCAAGGAAGTCTCGAGCTGGAGCTCGATCATGGGCTTCTCTTAGAGCCCCCAGAGGGGGGCTACGGATTGGCGTCAGCCCACGTGAAATGAAATTTCCCCCCCCCCCCGCCCATCCTCGCACCCAAACCCCAAACTCCTCCAATTCCGTCAGCCATTTTGGCTCTCGAGGTGTTCTTCACACATGCAGAAGCGCCTTCGGCTGACCGAATGCGGTAAATATAGCTTCGTGACTGCTAGAGGCATCGAGCGATTGCTGCAGCAGGTGAGGGATGAAGGCCTGCCCGACGCGTTTTCGGCAGCCACCCAGGCGAGAAAGCGCAAAGAAATCACCCACCAGGCGACTTCACCTGGCCCCCTCTTGCGCCGAGTGGCGGCGATGTCTATAGATGGAAAGGAGGTGGATCTGTGGTTTCAAGACCCTCTCGCGTTCTTGGAGTGTGCGTGCAGTCGGTCTCCGCACTACGCATCGATGATCACAAAGGCCCTCGATGCCAACGGTAACTCACTCTCGATCCCTATCTATTCCGATGAGGTCACTCCTGGCAGCGTGCTAGCAGAGCATAATGACCGAAAGGTACAAGCACTGTATTGGTCATTCAAAGAACTGGGATACCCAGCACTCTCTAATGAGATTTCATGGAACACAATATGCGCTATCCGCAGCTCTGTGGTCAACAGTCTCCCTGGAGGCCTCTCGGAGGTTTTCAAATATGCTCTGAAATTGTTTTTTCTGAGCGCCCGCGGGAAAGGACCTTCGACGAGGAGTGCCTTTCAAGATAGGTGCAGACGGCGAACAGCGATTGATTGTAGGCAGGCTTGGAGTGATGATACAGGACGAAAGAGCACATAACTTCTCATTTCAGTGCAAGGGTGCTGGAGGACACAAACTGTGTTGTCTTTGCATGAACGCGACCGATCTGAAGTCCGCCCTGTTGCCCGACCCCACGGGGTTCTTGGTTGCCTCGGACGTCGTCGACGTGTCGCAGTTCCAGCCCCACACTGGAAGCAACATCCGAGACATCCAGCGCCGACTTCATGAAGTTGCAAATGAAGGCGGTCGGAAGGACAAGCTAACAGATCTCCAGTCTTTACTTGGTTTCAATTATACGCCAACTGGCGTGTTGGCAGACGAAGAGTTAGATGTAAACCTTCCAGATGTTTTTCAATGGGACTGGATGCATTGCTACATGGTTGGAGGGGTCTTCGTAAAGGAAGGGGATCAATTGCTCCAGCGTCTGCACGCACATGGGCTGGGCGTGCGTGCGCTCCATGAGTATCTCCAGCACTGGCAGTGGCCGCTTGGATACAGCCACGCGAAACAAACATGTAGCAAGAAGAAGATGGGCGGTAGTGCATCGGAGCTCATGTCGCTGGCGCCCGTACTTGGAAGGTTCGTGATGGAGGTAGTTCCTGATGGAGTGTGTCCGCTTGAGGTTGAATCGTGTTTGGCCCTCGTCCGTGTTGTTGGGTTGCTCTCAGTTGTCAACAGCAGGCAAGTTTCAGCGATCGAGCTCGGGGAGTCGATCGCTAGGCATTTGGCTTTACATAAGCGTGCATACGGAGTAGAGGCGTGGGTTCCAAAGTTTCACTGGGTGCTACACCTGCCAGAACATCTTCGGAAACACACCATCGTGTTGTCATGTTTCCTAGAATGGAAAGGAAACATAAGGTCATCAAGACCATGGCCCAGCCACGTAGGAATACAAAATCATATGATCAAAACTTGTTAGAGAAGTGCACTGTGTTTCACTTGTTCCAGTTGGAACACCACGCGATCGAAGGCGTGGATTTGCTTGGGCCGAAGGCTCCGAGCAAGAAGCTACTCGCGGAAATTGGTAGTCTGTTTCCTTCGGCTGATTTGCATGACGCGGTGGCGTCAAAGTCAGCCCACGTGCACTGCAGAGCTGTGCAGATCGGCGATTGCGTTTCATATATCACGTCAAACAATAGCCTTTGTTTTGGCGCGGTTTTGGTACATTGCAAAGTGCAGGGGGTGATGCTCACTTTCGTTTCTATGTGGGACGTGATCGATGTTGGAGCAGAGTGCGCGAAATGCACCGTGCAGGATCGTGCCTGCATAGTCCGCAGCGAAGCAATTGTCGAGCCTTGTATATATTGGCCAACGAAGGTTGGCTCAATCAGCACTGTGATTTTTTCTCCAAGACTGCAACAGAGGGTCTTTCGGCACGCATGAATGTGATGCGCACTTCTGTGGTAAAAGCTTTCGCTTTTATTCAGCGGCTTCCGCCAGCACCGACCTCTGTCTTCACAATCCGCCTGCCTCCTCTCCCTAACCTCCTCCGCCCTTTCTCTTACTCCTCGCCCCTCCTCCCCTCCCTTCCCCCTCTCTCCTCACCCTCTCGCCCCCTCCTTCCGCTGAGGCTTTCCCTTCGGTAGGCGCTCGGCATCAGAGGACCTCCGAAGACCTCAGAGGACCTCGTTCCACGGACGCCCGAATCGTCAAGGAGACAAGCGTGAGAACTAACACTTTGAGCCACCGTAGGTTTCTATCCGATTTGAGTTGCCTGCCTATGGGGCCTCTTGTTGGGGCCTCCTGGAGCCACGTTGGGGCCATCTTGGAGCGCATTGAGCCATCGCGTGAGCCTTCTTCGGGGCTTCTGAACCACGTCACCAAGACCTCAGAGGCCCTCCTTCCGCGGCCGCCCGAAAATGTTCAAGGTCAATCGCGGCCTCCCAAAACCGAAAACATCGCATACCCCCATCGTGCACCGACAACAATATTTGCTTCACGGTTTACATGTATTTTTCTAGCTTTACTTCCAAATCCAGGGGCAACGAAGTAAGATTTTTCAAAACGAACAAAGAAATCCAAAGAAATCATCATCCAAAACAAGAAAATGAAGAATAAACCGTGGTTTCTGAACCCACTGTAATGGTTTAGCGTGCTCGGGCTAACCTACTTAGACGGGGGGGCTAACCTAGTTAGCTAACCTACTTGGCTAAGCTACTTGGACGGCTTGCTAACCTACGTTAGCTAAGGGGCCTAACCCCCGCGCAAGAAGATAGAACCCAGTCAACCATAAAAGAACCACCGCGGTGATTCAAGTGGGCACCGCCCCCGGGGCCGGTTTTGTGAGGATGTCTCAAGCGAGGGCGCCGGTTTGGGATTCGTCGGCGGATCCAGCGGATCTGTCCGGAAACGGTGCCGGAGGCCGCTCTGGGCTCCTCTGGGCACCGCCCCCGGTGCCGGTTTTGTGAGGATGTCTCAAGCGAGGGCGCCGGTTTGGGATTCGTCGGCGGATCCACCGGATCTGTCCGGAAACGGTGCCGGAGGCCGCTCTGGGCTCCTCTGCTCCCCGCGCCGGGGGTGAGGATGACGGTAGTTCCACAGAAACTCCCTCAAATGAAAAATATCAGTCTTGAAATGATAGTGATTGCTGTTGTCGTCGTCGTCGTCCGCGTCAGCGTGGCCGTCGTCAACTCAGTCGATGTGATGGTCGTGGTCATCGTCTTCGTCATCGTCGTCGTCGGCGGAAGAGGCGTCGTCGTGGTCATCGTTGTAATACTGGCGGCGCCGCCCGACGGTCGCCTTGCGGTCTCGGCCACCCCTCCGCACCCTCGTTGCAATCGTCACCGCCGTCGTCGTGTCGTCGTCACAAGACTTCTGGCGACGTGTTTTCTCACAACGTGGACTCTGGACCCTTTCTCCAGGACCAGATTTTCATCCTGAATTGATCATCGAAGGTCCTGGTGCAGGGTAAGGCCCCCCCAGACGCTGGCAATTGCCTAAATCCTTCCGCTGCGATTTCTTGACGACGCGAGGAGGTCTGGGTCGTCTTCGTGGTAGTCGTCGTCTTCGTGGTCGTCGCGCTCCTGGCGTCCCGCTCGGCGGTCGCCTTGCGCGGCCGGTCCCCGGGCCTGTGGTTGTACACCTCGATCACCTTGGGCGCCACCTGAGGGGTCGCAGAGAGGAGGTCGGCTAACAAGGCCTCTGTAACGGCTCTCGTCCCGCCAAGCGTGCCGATGCCAGTGTACAGACTGGCCTGGCGCATGCATACTGCAATCCCGTGCTGTGCGTCTGGTATGCCGCGATGGCTGTGCTCTGATACTACGGCGCGGCTGCAGTCGAGAGCCTTGGGCGTACCGCACCGCAGGGAGGAAAGGAAGAGGAGGAAGACGCCTCACCAAAAGAAAGCAACGGCTGGCCAATCGCAGGGGATGCGAAGAGAAGAACCGTCAGTCACCAAGATGCCCAAACATGCCAGCAATGCTCGGCCAGGCGATGCTCGGATGGAGGAGGGGACAAGAAGAGGAAGAGAGCGAAGACAAATGAACATAGGCGTAAGCCCGCGGAGGTCCGCTCCGATTTGATGGGGTTCGCGC